CCATTTTGCTCTGAAGTATATGGACAAGAAAAACGATGTGTAATGCCTGAACCAGCCAAGTACTTACTGAACACTAAAAATTCACCACCATTATCTGACTGAAATTGCTGAATTTTTGTGTGGAATTGATTTTCAACTTTGGACTTAAATTCCTTAAAAACTTGCAGAGCTTCAGATTTTTGTTTCAGAAGATAAATCCAGACAAAGCGACTATAAGCATCAATAAAGCTGATATAGTAGGAGTAACCAGAGGAAACAATCGGGGCTGGTCCCCATAAGTCTGCCACAATCAACTCAAAAGGTTTATTGTAAACTGTATCTGAAGATACAAAAGGTAGTTTATGGCTCTTGCCCATTTGACATGCCGTACACACAAAACAAGAACTATCTTTAGGAATGGGTACATTATTTGACTGTAAAATTTTTTTTGTAACTTCCATAGAGGGGTGACCCAATCTGCGATGCCAGAGTTCTAAGGAACTTGTCATAGATGCTGCAAAACATGAGGGAGACGGAACTGATGAACCTGGTTGTTGAGCTCTTGACTTGGCGCTTTGATACTTGTACATGCCGCGTACCTCATGGCCACGCCCCAAAGTCACTCGGGTCTGCAGATCCTTAATAATACAGTCATTAGGAAAGAATTCAATAGAGACTTGATTCTCCTTGGTAAAACGAGCAATTGACACCAAGTTCTTTTTCATTTGTGGTACACACAAAATATTATGAAGATGTAACGGCCTAGTAGCAGGCAAAACAGAGTTTCCTACTACAGTGATGGGCAGAGGATGACCATTACCTACTTCTACTGTGCCGGAGCCATGATAAATAGCAGAAGGTTGTTGAATTTGAGCAGAAGTGCGCGCAACATGTTGAGTTGCACCAGAATCAAAATACCATTCATTATCACCATCTTGTGTACTTGGAGTGGCCAGATAAACTTGTGGATTTTCAGCTTGGTCAGTAGTCGGTGCAGATACTGAATTTGAAACACTCGTTGAAGTGGAATGTGCAGGAGTCGAAGCATTATGTGGTGCAGATGACTCATGAGTTGCGGTATATTCACCAATTGGCACATCATAAGCATCATAAGTCGTAGCATAAGCAACAGGAGCAGACGAATTAGTGGAAACATTAGAGTTGTTATTATAATGAAGATCATACCGAAAGTAACAACGATCAGCGGTGTGACCAAGCTTACTGCAAATCTGACACGATGGTTTGGCACTGGTAATAAATCGACCTCGACCACGACCATGAGAGGGAGCAGGACCTCTAAAAGGTGGCGGTGGTGCTCCTCTATTTGAACCATATCGAGGATTATAGGCTGTTTGAAAAACCTCCTCTGGTTGATTAATTGATACAGCCTTCATTGCAGAAGTTAGATGCACTTGTGCTGAAGCAGACTGGATAAATGACTTTTGACGAATCTCTGCATCTAGTAGCATAGTGTGAACCTCTGATAGTGCATAATGCCCATGAGCAGCATTTATCACGGCAATGACCGCTTCATATTCTGCTGACAGACCGTTGAGAATGTGCGAGATATGATCTGCATCAGCTACACGATGACCGAGCATTGCAAGATGGTCACAAATGGATTTAATAGTGGCAAGATAATCACGCATAGCAAGCTCGCCCTTCTTTTGGTTTGTCAATTGATTCCTATACGAAAGAATCTTAGCATCTGATTTGGATGAAAAAATCTGCTCAAGTCGAGACCAAATCTGAGCTGCAGTGTTGAATCCGACAAGTTCGGGCAATACCGAAGGACTGACTGAGGAAAGAAGCCAAGATGCAAGCGAGGAATCCTGGACTTCATACTCTTCATAGGCCGGGTTTGGACCCGTCACATCATTTCCAATAGTGATGGTGGCTGCTGGAACCTTTGCAGAACCATCGAGTAAGCCAAGCAATCGGTGTTGCTTTACCATCAGTTGCACTTGTTGTTTCCACATCAAGTAGTTATTATCATCGAGCTTTACTGTAATCTTCTTGTTCATGAAGAATCTTGGTGCTGAAATAGCAATATGAGCATCATCACGAGCAGCACTGGAACCATCCAATGAAGTCATGATGGAGCGTTCTTGAGAACACGATAAGAACGGAAAGAATGGAATAGTCGATCGAAGAATCACGCCGGCAGAGCACGGCGGCTCTGATACCATATACGATTATGGTCAGAGAAAGAAGATGATGAAACCTTCAATTTGTTATTCATCAACCCAACTCAGAACGGTGTACATCTGCTGCATATATAGTACACGTGGGTTCTAACTAAACTTAGTTACAGACTCAACAAGTTGCCAACTTGACAGATGGTGACAGCTGGACACAACTAAAGCCCATTGGACTTATACACTAACAACTTTCGCCCATAACCCCCCGACTATTAATTTCGACAGCTTAGTAGAGGTAGATAGGGGCTTTTCTCGTCTTGACAACTCTGCTGCTTGCGGTGGAGTTAGTGAAGATACTTTTGGGACAGTGCTTGAGGGTTTCCAATTCCGTTTAGATACTTTGGGGGCAGTGCAATGAGCTAACTGTTGAGCTTTGGGGCTGCCTCATGGGTCTCAAGAGAGCTTGGGATGCAGGCTTTTGAAATATCCTACTTTGTAGTGACTCACAAGAGGCTTTGCGGCTTGTATAGGTTGATCCATCTGATCTGCATGAAGAGTTCAGTTTGATCATGGAAATTCGGGGAATGCTTAAACATGATTGGAAGGTGGAATTTCGATATATTGCAAGAGAGGACAGCTCGGTAGCGGACAAGCTGGTAAAGAATGCTCCGGCTGGGGGTCTTGGCCTTCTTTTGAATTCAGAGTTTGTTGAGCCTCTTGTACAGCTAGATACTGAGGGCTAAGTTTTGTCCCCACTAGCTTTCGTTTATTTATTTTCCAGTTTATCAAAAAAAAAAAGACTTTTAGTGAATCAGAAGCTTAGTGATAGTAATTTATTTTTATTGCGTTCCAAAGTCAAATGCACGCACTCACTAGAACAATAATTGTGATTTCATTAATTTTTATCCAAAAGTAGATAACAAAAAAAAGAATAAAGGTTAGAATAATTTTGATTTCATTAACTACGACAAAGAGGAACAATAAAACTAAAAAAATTAATTAAAATATCTATTAATTATGAAGTTTGGAGTTTCAATCCTTCGTTATAACATACCAACATTATTCTTCCTTTTTATAATATCTATTAATTAAAATAATTATTATAAATCATTCATTCTTTCAGTTTCTAAAGGTTAATCATCAAACCCTAAACTGCAAGTGATAGGAGTGATTTTCATATTTAAAAACTCAAAAATGATCAAATTCAAGCATTTTTTGGTTGTAAAAAAATAATTGCTTATGTTTCATTATTTATTTTAGCATTTAAAGTAATTTTTTGCTCTTTTATTAAATAAATAACTGATGAATAAATAGCTAATTTAGAAATGTACCTTGTCATGAGACAGCAGAGGATATCTTGAGTCTAGTGTAATATCTTCCTCATGTATTTCTCATCTAATTTATCACACAACGTAATAGTTGTCCACTGAAGATGCAGGCACTCTAATGTGCGTCTTTGTGGATAGAAGTTTCTTAAATTTGGAAGCTTGTCAAGCTTAAGGGAAGTCAACCTAGAAAACTCAAAGGCAGCATCAACTGATTCTGAAATCTAATCCTTTGCAACAACTACATTTCTAGCACAGTGGCTAATTTCAAGCTCTTCAAGATAATGAAGCATGCCTTTAGCTATAGATGCAGGAACATGCATGTGAGGTTTTCACAAGAAGAAACATCTACGCTCCTTAGACATGGGAAGAAGACACTTTTTTGGTGATGATTATTCCACACATTCTTCAATTTTGGCAATACCCATAGCTTCAACTTTTTTAAGGGCCCAGCCATCGATGACAACTCCATCTCTTTACAATCATTCAAATAACATGGCACATTTCCGAACTAGCAGTTCTTCCGAGTTATTTAAAGATTTCATAACATAAAGGGGCACCAATTTCACAAAGCCACAATTTTCTAGAATCAATGTTTTTAGGTTGCCAAATGAATTGTGTGAATAAAGTTGGTCATCCCATATTACTGGAAAATCGTACAATTGGGATAAATCTAATATCCCTAATTTTGGAAGTAACATCTGTTGAAAGAAATTATTATTAAATGAAAATCAATTTTGATTCATAGACTTTATTTTCACGAAAGATTGTTTAAATAAAGCTCTCATCTATCATGATATTTTTGAGAGATTTCAAGGAAATAAAAGGAAATTAGCTAATGAAAAAAATGAAAGAAATGTAAAATGCTATAGTAGCCAGTCTAATACTGATGTTAGTAATTGCAGCGTAACTAATTTTTGTACATACGTTAGAGCAAGAAAAACAAAACAAAGTAAGAAGAACAAACCTGCAAAACGCTACGATAGCCTAATAGCAAAGTAAATAATTCTAGTGAAAATGATTTTTGCAGGTACTCAGGTTTGGAGTTTTGTAGGAAGTTAAAACAAGAAAAAAATAACAATAACCAAAGTAATATGAATATACCTTATTATTGGAAAACAATTCGAAAATAATATTGTAGTGTTTAATCATCAAAACCATCAGCTACATTCCAATAAATAATTTAGTGAAAAAATAATTCATATATATCAAAATACTCAAAAACATAGAATTCACGTGTTTGGTTGTAAAACGACTAATTTGAGGCTTCATTATTAATTATTTCCATACTTGAAGTTAGCTTTTCTCTTTTATTAGCTAATTTTAAGTAACTAAAAGAAATAAAAAACTGCAAACTCCGTGATGGCCTAATAGTAAAGTGAGTAATTCTAATGAAAATGATTTTTGCATAGAAGTTTGAAGTTTAGTCACAAGATAAAATGAAAAATGTGAACGAAATAATTTGAACATACCTTGTTGTTGAAAAGCGATTTCAAAGTTCTATTGCATTCATGATTTGTTGATCTATACATGATGCAGGCATTACTAATTTTAGGTGGATGGTGATCGTAAAAATCCTCTGCCCTTTGTGGGGCAGCATTCTGTGTCTACTGGCGGGGTTCATGCTGCAATTTTATCTGCTGCTGGTGGATACTATGACAATTGTTGAAATGTTGGACACGCAGCAAAAACGACGAGAGGAAGAGGAGAGAAGGTCAACTGAAAGGAAGGAAAGAAGGTCATGAGCTCCACTCTTTTTTTTTTTTTTGGTAACAAGAGGGGCTTAAAGCCCAAAGCAAATGAACTCCACTCATTTTGGTCTGTTAAACCAATACCTCCAACCAGTTTTAAGTCCTTCAAATCGTTGTCTACAAAAACATTTGTCTTATTCAGTAAGTTTTGCAAAAGTCACCACTCTATATATTATGAAACGTGGAAAGAAAAGTGTTCAACCGTGCTTATCACTGCAGGATTTCAGTCAGCTAAATGGTTAACCATTTTGGACTGGCATTCCATCAGTTGGCAGTGCAAAATGCACCACTGATTCACTTTATAATGGTCTATGTATGTACTTTTTTCTGTTTCGATAATTCTCGACACCTGTGAGAGAGTGTGTTTCTTTACGATAATGAACTTCGTGGACTAATCCACTCAACATGATAACAAGTGACATTTTTTCATTGGAAATGACATACGCCTCTCTTGAGCTGATCCAAATGGGTGATGTATAATTTCTCAAATGAAGGGATTTTGCCCATAAAATCAAGATGTGAAGGGAATATCTCCTCAAAGGAACTATGGCCCGCTTGAAGTGCTTTCAGCTACGGAAATCTTGCAAGCAACGTATGCAGAAATGTTACCCCTTCTTCAATCCTTCTATGAAGAATTTCCACCTGAGGACAACCCATTATCCTCATCTAACACCAGCTCTCTTAATTCGACAAATCGCTGTAAAACAATTCTGGGCAAAGATATTATTCAATTACAAAAATATGATTTAATATTTTGTATTAAGAAGCGTTTATAAAGCACGCTAAACGCACCTGTTGGTAGAATGTTTTATGAAGATCGGTGTCCCAATTCAGTAGAATTGTGTGATAGCTGAATGCCTTTAAGAGATGGCGTATCAATAGGTCCTGGAGAGAATGTTTTGAATTTTGGACATCTTGTTATGAGTACTTGATCCAGTAATGGAAACCTGAAAGTATAATTGTGGCCGCAAAATCTCTTCAATCTTGGTAGGCTATAAAGTTGCAAATTCTGCAACTTGCTAAAAATGATTTCCTTGTCCTCATCATCCTCTCTTTCCTGCTTTGATATAATTTCCTCTATTTTATTGCAGAATGTAATTGAGAGATGTGTGAGATGGACCAAGTTACGAGCAGTTGATGATGTCATCAAAGTGGTCAACCCTATTATGAGTCCCACATTGGGAAATCTCACAAGTGTTGTGGGGTTCATAAGTTCAAGGGGCTCTCCCTCCCAATAGGGTTGACCAATGAAAGCACCAATGTGATGAGCATAAGCCCAAAGGGAGAGCCCATTAAACTTATGAACCCCACAGCACTTGTGAGATTTCCCAATGTGGGACTCATAACAGAGCACCCCTCTCGAGAGCCGACGTCCCCGGCGGCTCCACTCTACGGCACTTCACTCGGTTTTTCTTACCGGTCAGAACCCTCCGCAGGTAGCTCTTTTCAGTTGGCCAACTCTCAATGAAAGCACCAATGTGATGAGCATAAGTCCAAAGGGAGAACCCAATCCCAAAAGACTAGCCTATTGGGAGGGAGAGCCCCTTGAACTTATGAACTCCACAACACTTGTGAGATTTCCCAATGTGGGACTCATAACAGAGCACCCCTTTGAGAGTCGACGTCCCCGGTGGCTCCACTCTACGGCACTTCACTCGGTTTTTCTTACCGGTCAGAACCCTCCGCAGGTAGCCTTTTTCGGTTGGCCAACTCTCAACGAAAGTACCAATGTGATGAGCATAAGCCCAAAGGGAGAGCCCATCCCAAAAGACTAGTCTATTAGGAGGGAGAGCCCCTTAAACTTATAAACCCCACAACACTTGTAAGATTTCCCAATGTGGGACTCATAACAAACCCATTAGAAGATCTCACTTCAAGATGTGTGAGATTAAATGAAGAAATTAAGGATGATGCCAAGCTTAAGTGACTGCTTCACACATTCTTCAATTTTGGCAAATTCCATAACCATATCTTTTGAAGTGGCACAACCACCGATGATGGCATCATCTCTTTATAATCATTCAGATCTTCAAAATTAAACACGACCTCCAACATTCCACAGTTCCCGACTTTCAGTTCTTCCAAGTTGTTTAATGATTTCAGCACATGAAGGGGCATCAATTTCACAAAGCCACAGCTTTGCACAATCAATGTTTTCAAGTTGCTGAATGAGTTATCTAAAAGGTGGTCATCTCATATCAATGGAATCAAACCGTTTAAATTGGATAATTCCAATATCTCTAACTTTGGAAGTAACACCTGTTGAAAAAAATATATAATTAAACAAAAATCACTTTTGATATGTAGGCTTAAGTTTCACAAAAGATTGTTTAAGTGTCTAAGTAAAGCTTTCATGTACCACAATATTCTTCAAGGGATTGCTAAAAGTTCAATTTCAAACGTCAAGTTCGTAAAAAAATAAAAATTAAGTAATTAAAAAAGCTAAAGAACTTTAAAATGCTATGGTAATTAGCCTAACCAAATTGAGTAATTTAAGTGAAAGTAATTTTTGTAGATGCATTGAAACGAGAAAAAAATAAGAACATATTTCCAGTGAAATTAATTTTCGCAACTTAAGTTTGAAATTAAGAAGTTAATACAAGATAAGAAAAGGCTGGCAGGAAAAAAAAGATAAGAAAATAATAAATCCACTGTTTGCCCACCAAAACAATAGTAAATTGATATGAACATACCTTATGACGGCTGAAAAGTGATCTGAAATGCTTCTACATCTGGTATTTGTTGCTCGGTCCTCACTGTTGAAATCTGTTTTATCCTCTTCTGTTTTCAATCTTGGTCGAAGAGTGGGTTTTAATATCCTCAACGCATTGAATGTGATTCTCCCTTCTACATCTTCATTAGTCTCATTGATTACAATTTTCTCCATCTTTCTGCAATCATTTATCTCTAATGTTTCAAGATTCACCAAACTTTTAGCAGTTGAATTTGTCATTAAATAATGAGCTGATGACATCTCAACACCTTCAGCAGTCAAATTATTAAATCAGGTGGAGGATGGCGCCAATTTAATCAAGTGAGAACAATTTTCAACATGCAGGATTTGTAGATTTTGAATTGGGGACAGATGAGAATCATCCTTCCATATGTTCTTGAGCTGATACAAATTGGCAAGGCAGAGTTCCCCGAATGGTGGAATTTGATGAACAATGTGTGCATGTGATGGGAATATCTCTTCAAAGGAACTATTCTCCACATGAAGTGCATTGTGGAAATCTTTCAAGCAATGCATACGGAAATGCTATCCATTCATCAAAAAATCTTTCTATGCGAAGAATTTCCACTTGAGGATAACGGTCCACTGGAAATTGGTCATTCCATATGATGTTAGCATCATTCTCGTCTAACACCCCCTGTCTTGATGCCAATTGCTACGGGCAAACATATTATTCAGTCATTAAAACATAATTTAATATTTTGTACTAAGGAACGTTTATTAATAATAATGTCCTATCTCATTGTGTCTCAAATTAAAGTCAAATGCACTCTCAGTCCAAAAAAAAAGTCAAATACACTCACTAGTAGAAAGAAAACTTTGAATACTTTTGTCGCCCATTTTCTTCCTTGTCAAAGAAGTGTGTCAAACATTTTTATTTCATTAATTATTACAATAACATCAACTAAGACAAAAAAGAACAATGATATAGAACACCCTGCCATGTATCCCATTAATTAATATTGATCTAATTGTTTGCACTGTTTGTTAATTAAAGTGATATAATAAGAAAATTATAATCAAAATTTTAGTAGAATCTTTAGATGAGTATTTTTGTGAAGCTGGAAATAGCAGGAATTGAGCATGCTAGATCGACGCACCTGTTGGTAGATTGTTTTGTTAAGACTGGTGCCCCAAAATTGTTGAGGTTTATCTCCATCTTGTAATAGTTGAACGCTTTTAAGAGATGGTGTATCGATGAGTCCTGGAGAGAATATTTTTAATTTTGGACAGTTTGCTATGATTACTTGATCCAATAATGGAAACCTGAAAGTATAATTGTAGCTGCAAAATCTCTTCAATGCTGGAACCTGATCAAGTTTCAAAAACTTCAGTTTGCAGAAAAGGATTTCCTTATCCTCATCATCCTCTCCTTTTTGCTTCGTTACAATTTCTTCTATCTTTTTACAGTCATTCATCTCCAATGTCTCAAGATTCACTGAACTTTTGGCCATTGAATTTGTCACTAAATAGACAAGCTGGTGACATTTGGACACCTTCAGGACCGTCAAACTATCAAACAAATTAAAGTAGAGGATGGTGCCAATGTAATCAAATTAGAACAGTTTTCAACATGAAGGACTTCTAAATTTTGAATTGTGGGCAGCTGAGAATCATTCCTCCATATGTTCTTGAGCTGATCCATATTGGCAATGTACAGTTCCTTCGGTAGCGGAATTTTTCCCTTATGATCAACAATGTGTGCATGTGATGGAAATATTTCCTCAAAGGAACTATGTTGCACATGAAGTGCTTTCAGCTGCGGAAATCTTTCAAGCAATGTTATCATTTTATCGACAAATCTTTCAATGCGAAGAATATCCACTTTAGGACTATGGTCCACTGGAAATTGGTCACTCTCATCTAACACCAGCACTCCCGATGCGACAAATTGCTGTAAAACAATTATAGGCAAAGATAGTATTGAGTTATAACGACATCATTTATATTAAAAGAATGATAATACTAAAACATTTTGCCATGCATCCCATTAATTAATTATGCAGTAAGTGTTTGTGGTGTTTGTAATTAGTTATGTAATAAGAAAGTTATAATTAAAAGTTTAGTAGAATATTTAAACCGTAATATGTATAGGGATAGTTATATTAAATATCATAACAATATAATGGAACTTTTATGGATGAGTATTTTTGTGAAAGCTGGAAATTGAAAGGACTGAACATGCTAGCTGTACGTACCTGTTGGTAGATTGTTTTGTTAAGATTGGTGTCCCAAAATTGCTGACGTTTCCCCGTATCTTGTAACAATTGAACGCTTTCAAGACATGGTGTATCGACTAGTCCTGGAGAGAAATATTTTGAATTTTGGACAGTTTGTTATGATTAGTTGATCCAATAATGGAAACTTCAAAGTGTAACTGTGGCTGCAAAATCTCTTCAGTCTTGGAAGCTGATAAAGTTTCAAAAACTCCAATTTGCCAAAAACAATTTCCCTGTTCTCATCATTCTCTCCTTCTGGCTTCGTGATAATTTCCTCTATTTTACTGCACTGACTAATTGAGAGATGCATGAGATGCACCAAGCTTCGAGCTATTGATGATGTTATCAAAGCGGTCAGCCATTGATTGCATTTCAAGTGGAGATGTGTGAGATTTGGTGAAGAAAGTAAGAATGGTCCCCCAAGTTTTTCAGAAAAATATTGCCGATAGTCAATTTTCTAAAAGGAGCAGCAAATGCAGCAACATCGTCTCCTCCAAAAGCGTCCCTCCTAATGCGACCCCACAGCTCCAGCTCATCTAGTTTTGGAAAGCTCTCCCACAATGATTTGTACGAAATTATTGTTGGTGCCATGGGATTAAGATAAAGAAGTTTTACTCTGGGGAAGCGGTGCATTGGAAATTGGCCACTCCCAATCATCTCAGCTTCTTTGCCCCACAATCTTAACTCCTCCAAATTATCAACCTGCACAATACATAAATTATCACTAAATGTAAAACTATTTAGTAAATCAAAAGGCATATGTTTTTTTTTTTAATGAGGGTGTCTTCAAATTTAAATTTTGAGGTACGTATTCCATTAGCTTCAAATGTTAATTATGATAAATTAAAATGAATTACTCTTTTTCTAAATATTCCTGTTATAGGGAAAATTCACATATTTAAATACTAAAAAATATCAAACTCAAGTGCTTTTTATAGGATATAGATTTTAAAAGAAAATAATCTGATGTTTCACTATTTATTTTAATGCTTTTTGCTCTTTTCTTAGCTTATTTTAACAATAAATAACCAATTAAGAGTTACTTTAGAAATGTACCTTGTCATAGGACAGTAGAGGATATTTTGAGTCTAGTGTGCTCTCTTCCTCATGTATTTCTGATAAACTTGAGCCTTGCTTTTCAAATATCTCTAGATTATCCCAACTGCAAATAAGTAATCGTTGAAGGTGTGAGCATTCTATCGGGTGTCTATGCGGATAGAAGTTCCTCAAGTTTGGAAGACCAGAAAGCTCAAGGGAAATCAGCTTAGGAAACTTAAATATAGTAGTAGCAAATTCTGAAAATTGATCCTTCGCAACGATCACATCTATACCACAATTAGCTATTTGAAGCTCTTCAAGATCACGAAGCATATCTTTGGCTATAGATGAACGAAACACACTTGTGAGGCTTTCACAAAAGGAAACATGTATGCTCCTAAGACTTTGGAAGCAGGCATTTCCTTGGCGGTAATTCCTTCACACATTCTTTAATTTTGGCAATTTCCGTAGCATTAACTTTTTCAATGGCACAGACATGGATGATGGCACCATCTCATTATCATCATTTAAATCTTCAAAGTCAAACACCATCTCCAACAAGTCACAGTCCCTGACTTCCAATTCTTCCAAGTTGTTTAAAGATTTCAGCACATGAAGGGGCAGCAATTTCCCAATGCCACAACTTTTCACAATCAATGTTTTCAACTTGCCAAATGAATTATCTGAAAGGTGGTCATCCCATCATATCCGTGGAATCAAACGGTTTAAAATGGATAATTCCAATGTCTACAACTTTGGGAGTAACACCTGTTGAAAGAAAAATATGATTAAACAAGAATCACTTTTGATCCATAAGCATCTTTTCCGTGAAAGATTGTTTAAATGTCTAGATAAAATTCTCATCTACTTCACAGTATTTTCAAGAAATTACTAAAAGTTCAATTTCAAATTTAAAGTTCATAGTCAAGTTTGAAGTTTTGTAGGAAGTCAAAACAAGAATAATTAAAATAATACGAATATACCTTATTATTGAAAAGTGATTCGAAAATTTTATTACAGTGATTAAACATTAAAACCATAGGCTACATTCATAAATATTCTAATGACAGGAACGGCAATTGATATATTAAAATAGTCAAAAACATCAAATTCACAAGCTTTTTGGTTGTAACACAAATAATTTGAGGCTTCATTATTTATTTTAATACTTGAAGTTAGCTTTTCTCTTTCGTTAGCTCATTTTAATTAATTAAAAAATAAAAACTGTAAACTTCCATAATAGCCTAATAGAAAGTAAAAATTCTAATGAAAATGATTTTTGGCACATAAGTTTGGAGTTGCGCAAGAAGATAAAGCAAGGGGAAGATATGAATAAAACAATCTGACCATACCTTCTTGTTGAAAAGTGGTGCGCAAATTTGATTGGATACATTATTTGTTGCAGCTTCATGATGTGCTGAGTTGAAAACAATTTATTGAATATGAAGATGCCTTAAGGAAATCTTCTTCCATCATAACCGTAAAGAACATTTTCAAGCTCATTACATCCATATAAATACAAATCTTCAACTCCTTCCAATAACTTTTGAACCCCTCGCTTCAAATGGATACTACTCTCTATCTCAAGTTTCAATATCTTTAAAGCTTCATAATTGCCTATCCATTCCCAATGCTTACCAATGAATATCCTGTATCTCTTCAAATTCATATCTAAGAACAAGTTTTCTGGCAACATAGAGACATTAGGGATATGAATATCTAGAGAGGAGATTGGCAAATCCTTCAACTCGTCAAGACTTGCATTTTCATTAGCTTCAGCAGATCCTTCAACTTTCCACAGGTCAAAGCTATTTCCCATTTGCAAAACCTCCAAATTTTTCAAGCTAGATAGGAGATTTTGTGGAATGACTTTGAGTTTAGAGCAATGGGACAAATTCAACATTTGTAGAGAAGTCAACTCTGCCAATTCAATAGGTAGCTGTTGAATTTCAGAGTAAGAAAGACTTAGGACCTTTAAGTTCTTCAACCTTCTAACCTCAATTATATCTTCCAGCGAACAAGAGTGTAGACACAATGTTTTTAGCTTTTGTAGGAAACTGAGAAATGGTAGTGACGAAAAACACAAATTGGTAAATGCCAATACTTTAACTCGTGTGAACAGTTGAAAAACATGCTGGGTATGGTCAAATCAAGTCTTTTGCTATTTAGTACAAAGAATTCCAATTGTGGACCATGCAACTCATCAGGAAGGTCACTAATGTCACTCTCTTGTAAGCAAATTCCCTTGTAGCCTTTTAGCATGTTTTCATCTGGCCATTCATTCAACCTTCTATGTTTCACAATGAATGCAAACAATTCCATGGATGATGCAATAGATAATGCAACATCTCGGATGACGTCATGCATTGTAAAATAATGACTGGAAAAGCTATCAAGAAATAAGTTTAATGATTTTAGCTTACTTACAATAGCAGCGATTCCAACATGGGCTTCTTCCATGTTTTCTACGTGCTTAAGAAAATCTAACCCCACAGAGCACATGAGCAGGTCTTCAATTGAGGGATCATGGGACAACATGGCAGCGAACAAGAAAATATGTTTGTACTCTGATGAGCTTAGACGATTGTAGCTCAACTTCAAAATGGTATCCACCTCTTTAGTTAATGTGTTGTTTCTCCTCAAAGGATTATTCAATCGTGCAAGGGCATCTTTCCACTCATTTAGATCTTTATTCTTCAATGCCTTGGCAGCTGTAGCAATCATTAGCGGCAGGCCACCACACTTTCGAACAATCGCAATGGCTATAGATGCCAACTCAGGACTACTTGAGTCAACAGAAAGCTCAGCAATCCTCTTGAACAACTCCCATGCTTCATACTCTAACAAAACACCCACTTTGATAATTTCTTGATATTTCATGTCTTTTGACAGCAACATTTCATTCCTTGAAGTTAGTAACATTTTGCAACCTTCAACAAAGGGAATTCCAACTTTGCCCAAATCAAGTTCCTCCCAAAGATCATCCAATATTAGGAGCATATTCTTCTCCTGCTTCAACCTCACACATAGGCGAGCAGCTCTTACATCTTCAGTTTTTTCATTGAGTTGCAAACCCAGCTTCTCAGCAATCTGGCCTTGAATCTTCTCAACGTTCAATTCTTTAGAAACGGTTGTCATGATCACCTTTTCAAACATGTTTTTATTCTTTGCTACCTCTTTAACTGTAGTTGTCTTGCCAACACCAGGAAGTCCACACAATCCAATCATATTAACATTAGGATTCCGCAATGCCTCCATAATTTGATTCACAACCGGCACTCTTGATTCAATCCCTTCATTACTTTCTCTGGTGATTAATTCTGGGATCACAGGGGGAGGAACTCGATATGAAACTGTATTAAAGTTTCCATTTCCGCAAATTTCAACGACTTGTTGTGCCATTGCCTTTGTTCTCTTGCTTAGTTTATAGCGTAGCCATGGGTTGGGATATGAAGTTACGCTACACTCCATTTTTGCTTGACTCTCTTTGTCATGAAACTTTTGTACTTGCTCTGAAATCCGATCTACTCTGCGTAACCAATGAAGAACTTTGTCTTCAATTTGTTCTACATTGTTTGTCGCCTCATCTATTGTATGGAACTTCTTTCATCGATGAGTTCTACAAGTCGTTCATTGAGCTGCTTAATGTTTTTGTGATGCTGAAACAGATAACGAAGCTGCTCCCGTGTTAGTTCGAGCACTAGGTCCCGAAACTTGTCAACCAAACTGCTATGTTCGGCCAGTAATATCCATTTAATTTGTCCCCTGTTAAAAAGATATAGCCAAAACTTAATTACACGTGGTTTGTTGATGCCGAAATAATATTGCACTTCGAACAAAAGTCTCACCTTTTTTCTGGATTAATGAGGACGAAAACTTGATTTTCCCTTTTCTCAATCTTTCTCTTTTCAACCTGCGGAAATGAAAGCAAGAATGAGGTCCTTCGAGATATGATCACGCGTCCCAATGCAGGTGAGGTAAGGTCATAGGCAAGCTTATCACTAAACTATTAGGACATAAATTTATGTTTGTAGATTTACCGTATCCCTGAAGAGAATATTATGTTTTTCTTGATTGCTCTGTTGCTACATATTCTGAAAGAGGAGAATATTTTGCAGCAAAAGTTGACGCATGAATTGATTTGCAACCACGATATGATAATTTCTAAAATATACATTAGATCAATTAAACACGGGCTGTCTATGGAATAAATATGTGTATTTTGAACTTACAATAACCGATGTGAAATTTTGCAATTTGAGTATGTATAAACTTCAGATCTACCAGCAATAAGAAGCTTTCCCTAGTGTTCCAACACAGATCAATGACGAGACCACTTTTATCTCCCCTCTTTTTATAGTGTTTTAAACACCTTTAAGAAGTAGATGATTCACGCAAATCAAAGGTTTTTTAGCAGCAAGACGATGAATTGTAAAAACAGATAGGGAAGCAACATCACCAAAAAACTCGGAAAAAATGAAAGCGGAGGGAATAACTATTTGTTTTAGATATCATTAGTGACAAATTCAAAGTGCAGCTTCTTTTTCTTCTTGAAGAAACATCAAAAGACAGCAAATTTAAAAATGATTACAACAAAGGAAAAGTGCCAGCAAAAGTGCAAGAGGAGCAAATTTGGAATTTTTTATTTTTATTTTTTAATGTGAAACAGTGAAAGGAAAACAATATCAGAAAATAAAAAGGAGATTGCAGAAAAAAGAACAAGTTGAGAAATCTGTAAACACAAAAAAAAAAAAAAATGCCAGGAATGCTGTGAAGTTACGAAAGAAGACAATGGGAACAAACAAAAATGAAAAGTGCCAAGAAAAGAATTAAGTTCAGAAAAAATTTTCTGCAAAAATGAAAAGTGCCGAGACACTGGAAATTTCTGAAAAAGCGCTAAAGAAGCTGAGAAATGAGGAAAAAACAGAAGGAGAAAGTTGTAATGATGTGAAACTCTGAAAGAAGAAGCAGATCTGAAGCTTTGGCAGTAGTAGATCGCAAAGTCCGTCGAGCACAGAGGAGTCAATGATATAGTATGGCAATGACATATGATGAGACCCACAACGATTAAAAAGGAAAAAGAAAAGGAGCGTTAAAGTTACACCTCGTCACAGTTTCAACGAAATTGAATTAAAGTTCAACCAATAATCAAGTTAAATCATAGGAACAAAGTCATTAATTTAAAGTCCAAAGGGACTTGGCTGCAATATTTAGAAACTTAAAAAGACATTCTTGCCCTGACAGACAGCGGTAAAAACTTTCCTGTTTTCAAACGAAAAGTGCTCACTGAATGCCCTCTTCCATTTCCAAATCATCGCGCATCTTCACCAAAGTTGAGGATTGGTTGCTCCTTCAAAATCATCATCTATGTCTATTAAAGCCGGTGATTGGTGATTCTTCTCTCATTTCTTCCAATTTCTGGTTCGATTACTTCACTCTTGACATTAACAACTGACTCCAAATCCTCTAAGCAACCTTCCCTAAATCACTTGACCGTCGTTGGAGTCTTGAAAGTTATCGTCATCACTGGAGTAGTTGCAATGAAGCCTGTTGCCAGAGTCATTTAAATTCAATGTCATTGATGGAGTGGTTGCAGTGAAGCTCGTCGTGATTTCTGCCAATCTTCGCCAATCTATTCATTTATGTTTGAAGCAGGGCCTTCAGCAATCCTCCTTATGGTGAGTAGTCATTTTCATCATTGGGCTCACTCCATCAATGTTTTGCCCTTGTTATAATGTTTGTTCGATTTGCTCCAACTGAATGTTGTGTCTTTGGTATGAAGTTGGTGGCAATTTTGTGGCTTTCATTAATTTGTGGGTTGTGGTTTTCGTGAATGGGTTGAGTTTCTTTTAAGGGTTCGGTTTCTTTTAATTAATTTCTTCATAGTATTATTATCACATGAGTATTTCGTATGCATATGTCTATATTCAAAATGGCTGGGATGCATAGAACTTGTGGAGGTGCGTGATTCCCAAATTTTTAGAGTAGGGAATTATAGTTTATGTCAAATTTGAATTCTTTTTCCAACTCTTTCTTCTTTATTCTTTCGTCTAATATTGTAACAGTGGATTTGGTTAAAAAACACGAATTTGGAATAAAGATGTGAGAATAATGTGATTTGAAACATATATTGTGATATATAAGAGTCAACTAGACAGATCATAGAGAGTGCAGTGAAGAGGAAATTTATTGCCTTTCCATGTCCTAAAACTATTATATGTTATTTTTTTCTGGTGTTGGGTGATGGCCATAAATATAGATTGGGTAGAACTGTATTGATAAGATATGGTTGAATATCTTCAAAGTTTGGGTATGAATTTTTAGAACTGGTCTGAACAAGTTCTACGTTAGATATGATGTTTAGGTTTTTTTTTTTAATTCTGAGTAGCAAAGAAGTACTGCAAGTTTTGATTTTTGAACAAATATTTATGTTAATATATTTAAGTCAAGAAAATAAACTTTTGAATTCATATGAATTATAAGGGAACCTGGATTTATAAGAAGCCTACATCTTTAATTACTACAAGGCCCAACTTAATAATGATATTCCTTGTGAAGAGGCTAAAATATCATGCAGAATTGCTCATAGTTTGTCTTTTTTTTTTTTTTTTTGCAGGTTAAGAAGATGGGGAAGGATGGAGGCAACAGAAGTAGACAAAAGAGCTCCAAATTTTCTAGTTTTCCTTGTTCACGAAGAAGATAGCCTAGTAATTAATTTTTTTTTTGTTAGGCCATGATATGTGCTGTAAGAGATTATTGGCAATTAAGGGTATTAGCAATGAGCAGTAATGGCCTACTGGTCGACAAGTCATTTTGTAACAAGATGATCAAATCATATTTATAATATTATTACTTTCATCATCATATGTTACAATACCAATTAAGGGTGTTGTACCTTTTGATTTTGTGCCTTTCTTTTGAAAATAACTATTTCTATACGATACTGCATGCTGTTAAGCCAGAATTGTTTGCCATCAAGGAAAAAATTGACAATGAAGTTAAATGGACTAAAGTTTATGTGTCAAATGATTGGTTGATAACGCATTTTGTAACAAAGTCATCAAATCATGTTTATATTCAATATTTATTTGAAATTCTATATTGTTTCTTACTATTGTCATTATATTACCAATATTATTTTGTGCAGATATATTGTTTCTTATAAAAGTAAAAACTTAGTTATAAAGTGATATTTGACTTTTAACAAACATTGATATTATATCACATTATCACAAAAAAAAATTCACAAATAATCTCTCAAATATCACTAGATACATTGACAAGTGACAGTGTGACCATTGACAAGTGACATGGCCACCATTGACAAGTCACAGTGCAATCGTTAACAAGCCTTATAAGCCCAATCCGCCATGGCGTCTTGAGTAGAAAGAAGGAGAAGCATTCTGTAATAGGTGTTACGGTGCCTAGATAAATCCACTGTAGCACCTACACAAAATTTTTGCCCTTGATTCCATGGTTGACAAGTCACAGTGCAACCGTTGACAAGCCACAGTGCTAATATTGACAAGTCACAATGCCACTATTGACAAGTCACACTGTGTTTGTTGACAAGCCTGATAAGTCCAATCCGCCGTGGCGCCTTGAGAAATCTGCCATGATGCCCTGAGTAAAAAGAAATGGGAGCCATTCTGTAATAGGCGCTGTGGCACCTAGACCAAATTCTTATCATTGATTTCATGGTTGACAGGTGATAGTGCAACTATTAAGAAGTCACAGTGCCACTATTGACAAGCCACAGTGTCACCATTGACAAGTCATAGAGTAACCATTAACAAGTTATAATGCAATAATTGCAATTAGTGACAAGTCAGAACAAGTTGTTGACAATACAGGGTGTAATAATGACAACTAAAATGACAGTAGAATCTAACATACCAATTTATAGCTAACTTCCATTTACACCATTATATACATGGAACTGCACTTATTTCACAACCCATCCACACACAAAAAATCATCAGGTTGCATGTAATTACAAATCATCAGATCTCTCAAGGCGTTGCGGCGGATTGGCCTTATTAGGCTTGTTAACAAGCGCACTGTAACTTGTCAATGATGGCACTATGACTTGTCAATTGTTGCAGTGTGACTTGTCAATAGTTGCACTGTCACTTGTCAACCATGGAATCAAGGGTAAGAATTTTGTCTAGGTGCCACGGTGCCTATTATAGAATGCCTTCCATTTCTTTCTACTTAGGGGTACCATGGCGGATTGGGCTTATCAGGCTTGTCAATAGATGCACTGTAACTTGTCAATGGTGGCACTGTGATTTGCAATGTTGGCACTGTGGCTTGTCAATGGTTGGACTATGACTTGTCAACCATGGAATCAAGGGCAGGAATTTTATGTAGGTACTACGGCGGATTTATCTAGGTGCCAC